ATTTATATATATATATATATATATATATCCAAGGCAACAAGAGAAAAGAAACAAAAAAATCAATATACATCCCCCCGCAAAGCTTCTCCAACAGAAGCAGGAACCGAGGACCATACAGGTTCAAAAAAATTGGAAAAAAAAAGACCATCTACATATTTCATGAGCCACCTTATTAGAATGTCTTGAAACCCAATTCAACGAGAAATCTTTTCCATGCTAAAAAAGAACCTTGATATCGCGAATAATTGTAACCAAAGCTTCTTTTGATGAACCCAAATTTTTTTATCCATACGCTGCTTTCTAATTAGCCAAGAATAATTATGTAATAATTTTTCCTTATCCAGGACTTAGAAATCCTAGTTTTCCTGATTGCAACATTCTTGGTTAGAATATCCAATGTAGGACTAATGTCTAAGGTCACACACCTAAAAAGTCAAAATTGATGCAATTGTTGTTTCATTATGATGATGTTAATAAGAGAATAATAAATTTAGATATTCGCGATCCATTTTTATGTAATTTTATTTTTAATTTTTATTTAAAAAATAATATTTTTAACTTTAATTTTAAAAATTAATAATTACTTTTTTTAAAATACCTCAACTGTTATTTTCAATTATGGTAAGATTTTTTTTTTTGTCTCCCCACTCTTTTTTCATTAGCGTTTTGGTTATCCTGCATTTTTTGTTAAGTCCTATTTTTCTCTTACTTCATGCCTTTCTAAATTCTTTCTCTAATTTGTATTACTTTTCTCTTCTTTCTCTAGTTAGGATTTGATATTAATATTTGCAAATAATAATGAAAGACTTAGTGCTATCAGACTCCTACTTTTTAAAGAGATGTTCGGGATTCGAGCCTCGGTGGAGACATGTGTGTGTGAGTATCAACTAAGAAAAAAAAAAAAAAACAGAGTTAAATGATGTAATTAATCTTATTAGTATAAAAAATATTGAATAACTATTAAACCATTAAACTCATTTGATAATAAATAGTGATGGGAATGGTAATTTGTTTCTTTTATTTATTTATTTTTTCTGTTTTATGCTTTGAGGTTTTTTTTTTTTTTTTTTTTTTTTTTTTTTGATTGACATGATGGGAATGGTAATTTTTTTAAAAAAATTTATTTTCTATTTTATACTTTGAGTTTAGTTTGATTTTTTCCCCTGATGTGATTTTTAAGAATCAATTTAGAATTTAATTGAATATTTAAGTTTATATTTTACTTGTTGATAAAATTAAAGTTCTAACTCTTTTGAGAATAAAATTAAAAGACTAGGGATTTTGTGAAGAAAAAAAGAAATTTAAGAAAGTAACTAAGGTAAGAAAAAAAGTTTATGGTGAAATGAGATGTGGTATTATAAAATAAGGAGATGCATTAATGGGTTTCAAGACCTTTTGTTATTTTCTTCAAGGAAAAAAGAAAGTGGAGTGTAATTATACAAAAGTAGAATGTAATGTATAATAAAGGGCAAAAAACAAAGATAAAGAAAATAAGTTTTTATTGATCAACTGGCTCCTCGTGCGGGTTTAGACTGTTGAAAATAAATTATTACAGTATTAAAAGTAGGAAAAAAAAAAAAAAAAAAAATCAGATGGACAGAAATGAATTTACCGGTGTAGATTTGTTGCAGTGGATTCTTTCCTTCTTATACTGACACCAAACATTTGCATTCTGAAAAGCGAAAGGTATTTACGTGATTTCGTATGCTCAGTCCAGGCATTTTCGTCCTCTTCAGAACATTCCGGAAATGGGTTGAACGTCCACTCGCGAGTCGCGATTATATCCAATTTCACCTACTCGCCTACATTGAAGGGTAGCAGAACAAAACGCACATCTGTTTCATCAAATTACAAAAATACCCCTGCCGGTTAGATGTCATTGAGTTGCAACTCAAGTGAATTCGACTGAATATGAAACCTCTTCTTGTAACTATCCATCGTTAAGATCCATCTAACCAAACACCTCTTGTAACTATTCATCGTTAAGTTCCATTTAATCAAACAGACTCTATATATCAAAATTTAGAATCTTATTTAAAAATTAATGCCTTTCTTTGTGTCCATTAAGTAGAGTATTTTATGTCAAACTATTATACATACATGGTTACAATTTGGGTCCAATTGTTTAATTTGAAGTAGGTTTTATAACAAATTAAATCACTCTCTCCATCCTAAATTAAATGTCGTTATTGAGAACTGTACTTAATTTGAGACGGAGAGAGTAAATGATTTTTTTTTTTTAATTTATAACCATTCTCACTCCATTTTTAAAATTAGTATTCAAATATGTCAAAAAAAAAAAATTAAGTCTGGTTAAGTTTGAATCGATTAATTCAATTTTTTACTCATGCTGATGGAATGGATTTAGAGGCGCAACTCAAATAGATTGGACAAGTTTAAAGGTCAACTCTATCTGAACATACTAGGAGAAATGTTTCTCAAATTTGGGTTGGGAGAAGTTAGTCCAATCATTATCAAATTAGTAATAAGATTAGCCGAATTGATATTTAATTTAATCAAATCAAATAACATACGTGTGTGTATGAAAAGAATTAAAAAAATTTGAAAAGTCATGAAACACGGAAACTCAATGTTATACATACATTTAAAAATACTTAAAAAAACACAAATAAGATCAATACTTAGAATGCTTAATGTGATCACAATTTCAGTTCAAAATTGTGAATTCAATGTTAAAACACAAAATTCAAGAGCTAAATTTGCGTAATGGCGATTGTGCTCGGGACAATTGTACCCTAAGTGGAGAGTAGCACCACGTACAACTATGGAGAATAGGAAAAGGCCGGAGTAAATAAATGGGGTGACGCAAGTGGTCCTTTATGATTGCACTTACTTCAAATATATAAAAGGATCTTTTGTCACCTCGTGCCAAGAATACTCAATTTTCCTTCCCGATTTAACCTCCGAGAAAAATTAGCTCAAAGAAAAAATATAAAATAAAATAAAAAAAGGGCGAAAGTGAGCGACAAAATTAAATAAGCCGAGCCGAGAGCCTGTGCTTAGCCAACTTGAATCAGTCACAACCGTCAAGCAAAGAACTTCCCGCGTTGAAATTGTTGACTAAAGCCGAGCCGCCATAGACTCCCAATATATATATATATCCCTTCAAAGCCTCGTTTTCGCTGACTGTTGAAAACTAATCATTAGACCAACCTCCGCGTAACAAAAAGCTAAAAGAACAAGCAACCAATAGGAAGCCGAGAGAGAGAGAGAAATATAAATTATATACATGTACATGTATAGATACAGAGAGAGAAAGTCGAGAGAGAGAGGGATCTCGTGAAAGTGGAGAACTGGGCCGGTCACAAGGACCTGCTCCCTGTAACCGCCAGTTATTTCTGTTCTGGTAGTTTTCTGCCGATTTCCTGCGGGACCGAACACAGTAACCCACAAAAACAGTGGGACTGAAACCCCTACTCCTGACACGTGTACTTCTGCAACACACAGTAGGCCACGTGTCTACAACTCTCTTGCCCGTCCAACCACGTTTCGTTCCCGTAATGAACTCTTGCCCACATTACGGAACTCATCCTCAAATGCCGAAACTACCCTTCTAATTGAACAGGTAACCAGCCACAAATGGGGACAGAATTATCTTTTCATCTCCTCAAGAATAAATAACAGCAAGTTAGGTCAAACTGACCAATGCGTGTCATTTATGCAGTTGCGGTTTAGATCTTAGATCAATTGTGATGGTTATATCCTCACCGTTAAAAAAGAGTAGTAGAAAAGAATCAACGGTCTGTTTTTTTAATATCAAATACTTGAAATCTTTATTAATACACGTGATAATTCCGCCTTTTCTTGCCTATTTCCCAACTCTCTGACCAAAACAGGAACCACGGTAACGCCGTCTATTAATTGACAAAAACACCCTTCTAAAACTCAACAATTCCTACAATTTTAATTACACAATTTTATTTTAGGAAACTAATTAAAATTTCCATAGCACATAATATCTTGTAATATTCCTTCCTTTAAGTTAGAGTAAGAATTTGAGGACTATAGTATCATGTGAAAATATTGGATTAATTGTAAAAAATTTGCATACCAAGTTACCAACCCATTGTACATGAAGAAATTTGCGGATTATTAATTTTAAATTACAGTTCTTTTGCAATAAAGTTTAAGGACAACTGAGTAATTTCAAGGCACTTTCAGTAATTCAAGGAGGAATCTTCATTCCATGCAGGCAAACAAACATACATACTTTTCATAATTCTTAGAATGGGCATACAAGTATGGTTTGGAATCAAAATGCTTGAAAATGAAAAGACTATCAAGTTATGGCAAATAAATAGACTAACTATTAAAGTAGTATATCATGTCAAATCACATAGCACTTGATCAATTGTACAAATTATCCCAAATTAAATTAAATTCAGTACCATGGAGAATTATTTAAAGATCACATAGTGCCTATTAGAATGTTCTTTATTTGTTAATTTTTTAGATTTTAGTGAGCTCTGTGAAAAGAAAAATAATTATAGATGTTTTAAGGTTCCCATTTTATCACGACTATGTAGCAGTGGAGTCTTGAATAATGAGTTTGTCCTTTTTTATTTTTAAAAAAAGAATATTATGCATTAAATTAGTTCTTCTTATTCTGAAATACGTTCTGTAATTTTTAAAAATATCTATAATTTTAAAACGAAATTAGGATAAAAATATACGGAGTTTTTGACTTATTCCCAAACAAGAAGAATCAAAATATAGCTAGTTTTGATTCTCATTCCCAAACACACTCCTAACACGATTAAATGACAATTAAACCCTTTTCAATAGGAGGTTGGATTGGTTTCCGTGGGCTGGTTCCAATACCACCTCAATCTTTGTACAGGGCCATTTTGGTCATAAAAGTATGTTTGGTGCAAAATGGAAACGGTTGGAACGGAAAAGAAACGCGTATTTGGCCGGCAGGCGTTTGGTTGAACCAACCTAACAACCACCACTTTCCTCACACTTCTTTGCTTTTTCAATTATTAAATTAATTTCCAAAATTAACATTAAAACTCGTTTATTTTACAATTGTGGAAATAATTTCAGCGTGAGTGTGTATATAAAACTATAAATTATCATTTCATTTCTCTCTTTTCGGTTTTCTAAAAGCCATACTTGGGGGATTCCGTCTACTGTTCCCCTCTCTCTCTCCTCTCTTTCTCTCTCTAGAAACTCTTATCCTTACCTTCCGCCGGAATTTCTCTCTTTCTCGCCGGTTAACCGCTTTTCCGCCGGCGACCTGCTTCCGTAGTCTCGCCGGGAATTCGTTCGTCGCTTTCTCGCATTGATTCAAATTTTACTTTGTTTTCCACGAATGCTTTGTGAATCGGTCGTTTGGAATCGGCCGATCTGAGTTTGACTCGATCAGAGATGGTTTGAGAGAATGCAGCAAATTTGAAAGCTTGTTTGTGATCGTTCGAGGTTGAGATCGTGGTCTCGGCTTCGGTATTTTTGTTTTTTGTATTTGGAATTTGGTTCCTCTTTGGCTGCTGCTTTGCTTCTTTCTTCGGCGAAGTGAAAGAAGACGGAGGCCTCAAGAGAAGCACCTCGGAATGAAATGGTATGTGATTTATTCAGTGGTTGATGCATTTGTTCTTCGGTTAGGTGGCTCGGATCTTGAACATTGTTCTGATCTTGTTTATGATTCATGGATTTTTTGAAGTTTCTCCTCTGTTGTTGTTAATAACAAATATATATTATCTATTCATATGCAGTCATAAATGTTTATATATGAATGTATGTTATATTTCTACATTTTCATTAGTGAATTGTTTGATAGGGAATATTTTTTTATGGTCCTTTGATCTGAAATAATTTTACAGATTAATCAAGTTAATATTTTCTAGGAAATTGTGGACGCGTTTAAGAGATTTGGGAAATTTTCTTCTTCATTACCTTTGTTTTATATTTCAATTTTTATTTATTTATTTTTATTTTAATTTGTTCGTGTTATTAACGAATCTTTAGTTTGGGTTCTTACCCGAAAATATATTTTATGGTCTCGTGAAGTGAAAGTGATCACGTTCTCGGAAACGTGTTCTGTTTTCGTCTAGGGAAATTTTTGCTAACCACTAGTCTGTTATGAAACGATTCACGTTCCATCTGAAACAGAGCCAGTTCTTTTACTGTAATCTTTTTCCCTTATATCTGTTGGGTCATACTTATCTGAAGGGAAGGATTCATAGTTCGGCGAGGAAATTTGTTGCATGTTAATATTGTTTCTGGCTTTTGAAACGCCCCTCAATTTCCTATATTACACATTAGTGGCATTGATTTGTCAAAAAGTGACGCGGTTTTGCATAACGAATTCATCCCGAGACCCGAGTCCATTTGAGCTTTAGTTCTGACTTCTGTTCTGCGGTTTACCCTGCGCTTCAGATGGAACTATGTAGGGTCAGGTCAACTTTCCTAACCCAGCAGTTGAACTTGTGTGCAGTCAATATCCATTCATATCTTGAATTAAACCAACGCATCAGAAATTGAAGTTGTTCAATTTTATATTTCTGTTAGGCGGAATATTATCCCATAGCCTGAAAGAGAATTATAGCAATTGATTTTGATGCTTTTGATCTTTTAATCATTTTGGTAGGCCAATTATCATTTTGTGCTTCCTTAGACAGGAGTCTTACTTTGTGCGGGTGTTATTTATGTTCATTTGAAAATCTCAGTCCATCGTAAATAGATAAAAATATTTATGCCATTCAATTCACACCTACCCATTTTATTAATACTTCTTTACCTTTCGATGCCCCGCCACCCTCCAAAATCTCTAGAGCGGGAGAGAAACAGAGTTGTTTGATGTGAGGTCCCAAGGTATTGCTGAAGGGAAGGAAAGCAAGAGTGATTTTTTCGGACACCTTACCAATGCCTGTTTCTCTAGTCATCTTATGATCCAATCTACACTAATTAGCTGGAAATTTGGTTGCATCTTATATGATTAATTCTGAGGTGATTACATGGAAAATGCTGGCAACATCATACAATACAATTTGCACTAATTACTTCTTTATTGGGGTGCATCAGTCATGACGTGGTAGTATTTTTGAGTTTCTAAGATATCTCTTATTGAGCCAGTCAAAAGATTTTGTAAAAAAAGATAGGGTATCTGGTATTCCTGGTTCATTTAGTTTTTGAATTTTGCATCTGCATTGTCTAAACAATGTCATTCCATTCTATTGTCCATTCTGGCTTCCAGTATAGAACAAGAGCTCATTAATTAATTTACTATGAAAGCTATTCTTCTAGAGAGTACCTGTCCTCAATTATTGTTTCTTGTTTTCTTAATGTCCATCTTTTTTTTTTTTTTTTTTTCATGAATTTGGTGGTCAAAGCAATTCTTCCGTATTCTTGCGGCAATATAAGTTTGTAGATATCAACTTTTAGGGTTGTACAGCAATGTCAATATACAATGGTTGCTTTTATTACATGTGTTTAAGGATTACCCCTCCTTTGCCATTGTAGCTTATAGTTTAATGCTGATTGCTATTTCTTTATGTTGTCATTGACCCCTCATGATCAAGCAGTGGTGAGAAAATATTCTTCCTCTCCCTCCCTTTCTCTCCAATGTAGAATATGAATATGTATGTGTTTAATAATACTTGTAGATTTGACCTGCAATAATTACAAAAATGTAGAAATAAAACATTTCAGTTTTTTTCCCTCTCTCTCTCTCTCTTTTTCTCTGAAATTAGTGGGAGCATTTCATTTTATGTCTTAGTTCTGTTGTGCCCAAATGTCCAATGTCAGTGCACTATCCCAGTTTTTAAAAATATATCGGTAGCTTCCAGTGATATATCTTTGGCTCTATTACTATAAGCTGGTGTAGCGGCATAGACTTAATAAAATTGCCTTAATCCTTTCTATGAGTTTATTAAGGTGTTGATTTATTAAATTCAACATGTTGAAGTTGAACTGGATATTTTGCTCTTTTATCTCTTAATGTGCAATCTTCTGAACTGAGTTTTGTATGTTTTACTTTTTGACAGGTGGAAGGAAGGGTTTGTTCATCCAGAGAGGCTAAGTTAGAATTTCTGAAGCGTAAAAGGCTTCAGCATATAAAACCTGAAACAGTGACCAATACTGTATGTTTCCCGAACATAATGACTAGAAGTGGAGGAGATGCTCTAAGAGCTTCTTCATCATATGTTATGAGATTGCACGGTAATGCAAGTACATTTTCTCAATCTGCTGGTGCTTCAAATGGGAAGGATGTCTTTTCAAAGCACACTGTGACCAAGTTTGACACTAATGATCTAGAATGGATTGAGAAAGTACCTGAGTGTCCTGTATACCATCCGAGTAAAGAGGAGTTTGAGGATCCTTTGGTGTATCTGCAAAAGATAGCTCCAGAAGCTTCAAGATATGGTAGTTTCCCTTATAATGTTTATCTGCATCCCTGTAATTTCTGATTGTGTTAATGTTACACATTTGGATCTTTGAGGTTATTAGAAGGAATTGTTATTAGGCTTGGAGTTTAGTCTAAATAATTCAATTCCTCTAAAAATGTTCATTGTGTTTGATTCCATTTGAAAATCTCACTCCCTGCCCCAGCAAAAATGTCGAGAATGAAAATCTATCAAAGAGCTAGGTTTGAATTTTAGTCACCTTTCTTAGAACAAAAAAAAGTTTTTCTTCTTCTTTTTTGTTTTTGTTTTTTCTCTAAAAATAAAATTAACCAAAAGTAGCACGGTTTCATTGACCTCATTTATAAAGCTAACAGTAGGCCAAGCCAAAAGCAGTTCACTAAAGTGAACATGCAAGTTCCTCCCACCATTTAGGAGCTTAATTACTGCCTCAAGCTCATTGTTTATATAAGATAGGCTTGAAATCCAAAATACAGTTCACATGGTCGGAAGTCTTCGTAGAACATAGAAAAAAATTGATAAAAGAAATAATTCTAATGTGACTGTTAAATAAAAACTATCTAGTAACCGTGGGCAATATATTTCAATCATTTAGATATGAATTTGCATGAATATGTATTATTTCAGTGGGCTTATTTTGAATATATTATTTTGAGTCCTTGATACCTCAAAATGTTATGGTTTTAAGGAATTTGAGAAGTATTCTGTGTCTAACATCTTTAGTGCATATTGATACACATTCCTATGCACAAACAAGTCCACCGACTTGCACAAGTACAACTTCAACGTGGTCTTCTTCTGTTTTCTTCTTTTCTATTGCTTTAATATCTGCAGCATGTACTTTCCATCTCAGTGTTCTTTTTCACATTACATCACAGCCTCATTTAACTAGGATTTATATTTGAAAATCTTTCGGTGTTTATAGCTTGTACTAATCTCAGTAATTATTCTGTTTTGTTCATAACTTTTTAACTTTACAGCTTTAATATTGTTCAAATGCAATATTAATTAGCTGAAATCACTTTTACTTTTTGTTGATCTAAAGTACTTCAGTATTTGTTGCCTGTCAGTGCCTAGTAGCTTATAGTTTCTGATAACTTTTATTGCTTCTGTATTTTCTGTTCCTGCATTCCACATGTTTACTTTCTTAAAAGTTCTTTAATTTGTTGTTTTAACAAATGTTTATGTGTTGCATGAATGGAATTTTGACCACCTTTCTCTTTGAATTTATTTTTCCAATTTTCAGGTATATGCAAGATTGTTTCTCCTTTGAGTGCTTCTGTTCCTGCTGGTATAGTATTGATGAAAGAGAAAGCAGGTTTTAAGTTTACAACTAGAGTACAACCCTTTCGTCTTGCTGAGTGGGACACTGATGACAAGGTCACTTTTTTCATGAGTGGGAGGTGAATCTTTATACTGAAATGTGATTTCAATTTAGACTTGAATTTTTCTTCAGGTTTTGACTATGAGTGTGATTCTCCAGAAATTATACATTTCGTGATTTCGAGAAAGTGGCGAACAAGGTTTTTGCTCGTAGATATTGTAGTACTGGATGTCTTCCTACCACATACTTGGAAAAGGAATTTTGGCATGAATTAGCTTGTGGAAAGACAGAAAGTGTTGAATATGCATGTGATGTTGATGGTAGTGCCTTTTCATCTTCTCCGGATGATCATCTTGGAAATAGCAAATGGAATCTGAAGGTGTTGTTCTCGTTACAATTTTCAACTCTTTCAATTATAAATTCTGAATCTTCTATTGGAGTTTGTTTTGCTAAACTTTAAATTGAGTACAATACATATCCTTGTTTTTTTTTTTTTGGGGGTGGGGGGGGTGGGGGGGGGGAATATTTGCTTGCTATCTTCTTCCTCACCCTACTTTCTTTTTCTTCAAAAAAAAAAAATTCCTCCTCTTATTTCCTCCCCTAACTTTTGGTGGTACACTTGTGGCACTGGTTTTTATTTTTTATTTTTTATTTTATTACCATCCAACTGTAGTTTCTGATGCGATATTGTCCCCATTAGCTTATATGTATTATTGTTTTTTTGTTCTCAGAAACTTTCGCGGCTTCCGAAGTCTATTTTACGGCTTCTAGAAACGAAAATTCCGGTACTGAGATAATTTCACTTTCTCGATTTGAAACTTGTCATTTATATGCTTCTTTACATCTCCTTTATTTATTATTGTTATTTTTTCCTTTTAAAAATTTTAGGGGGTTACTGAGCCAATGCTTTACATCGGAATGCTATTTAGTATGTTTGCTTGGCATGTGGAGGATCATTACCTGTATAGGTACATCTTTATTTGATTTTAATCCAGTATGTGTTGTTCTTTATATGCTTATAGGTAAATTTATTTATGTTCTGTTAACCTATACATTTGCAGTATCAATTATCATCACTGTGGGGCTGCAAAAACTTGGTATGGGGTTCCTGGTCATGCAGCTTTGGATTTCGAAAAGGTGGTCCGGAAGCATGTATATACCAATGATATTCTATCAACTGAAGGGGAGGATGGAGCTTTTGATGTGCTTTTGGGGAAAACAACTCTGTTTCCTCCAAACATTTTGGTAGAACATGATGTCCCTGTCTACAAGGCTGTGCAGAAGCCCGGGGAATTTGTGATCACTTTTCCTAGAGCATATCATGCAGGGTTTAGTCATGGTAAGAAAATTTCTGTTGTACTAAAATGCATTACATACTGGGAATGGAAAGTAATAGATAATCAGTTACATGATTTATTATATGACCTTTTACTCTCTTTTTTCGGGTTAACTTTCAGGTTTTAATTGTGGTGAGGCCGTGAACTTCGCAATTGGTGATTGGTTTCCTTTGGGCTCCATAGCTAGCCGACGTTACGCACTTCTTAACAGGACTCCTCTCCTTCCTCATGAGGAACTTCTCTGCAAAGAAGCAATGATTCTCCATAAGAGTTTGGAACTTGAAGATCCAGATTATTCATTGGCAGACTTGACCTGCCACCGTAGAATTAAGGTTTCTTTTGTAAAATTGATGCGATTCCAACACCGTGCTCGCTGGTGTCTATTGAAATCAAGGGCATGCATTGGTGTTTCTCCAATTTCCCACGGAACTATTATCTGCAGCCTATGCAAACGTGACTGTTATGTAGCATACCTTAATTGCAACTGTTGCTTGCATCCTTTGTGCCTTCGCCACGGTATATTGGCTTGATATCTAGTTATAGTTTAATTGTTTTGGAATTTTATTTTTATTTTATTTATTTATTTATTTTCACCCTTGCTACTTGAATCCAGCTGATATTTTTTGGTGTTTTCAATTACTTAATCCAGAGATGAAGTCACTTGACTTCCCTTGTGGAGGCAATCATATTCTCTTTTTAAGGGAGGGTATTTCAGATATGGAATCTGTGGCCAAGAAGTTTGAACAGGAAGATGATATATTACATGAGGTTCGACAACACTCTGGAAGTGGTGATGACTTGTTTCTTCTATCATATATATTTCCAAGAGCTGAAAAGGATGGATATATTCCTTATTGTGAAATAAACTTTGAACTGGACCTGGAGATCACCACAACAGATGATCAACCCCGGCAGCCGAAGTGTAGTTCTCACAGCCAGGCTTTATGGAGCAAAGGTGCAGAAGATTTTAGACACGAGGCATCAGATGCTTCCCATTCTTGTGCTGCATCAACACCAAGCTCTTTTATGGAGCCATCTGAAAGCTCTTCCATTCCCATCACTGTAAGATTCTTATCTGGCTGCCCTTTTGTAGCATTGTGCCCTTTGTGTAATGTTATTACTCTCAGCTTCTTGCTCTTGGTGTGAACAGCTGTGTTACCTATTCAAGTTTACTGATGTAAATTATTGTTTTCCATATCTTCTCAGCAGGTACAGGGGCATGCTAACTCTAGTTTAGGAAATCTTTTATCTAAAGAGATACCCTCCCACAAGTATGAATCTCCGCTTCTCTCTCTCAGTGATGACTGTTTTGGTACCCATCAGTGTAATCATCAAACGTCAGACATTAGGGCTGTTGTGGTTCAAGAGAGTGATGATTCTGATTCAGAAATATTCAGGGTTAAACGACGTTCTTCTGTGAAGGTGCAGCAAAGAAGTGTGAATGATGCCGTTTTGCCAAATTACGAAATCCAGGTATAATTGACCGAGTTCTATGCTGTTTTTCTATTGCATGATACTAGGTTTTCACTTCTTTTATTTTTGGTTATCAATTGTTAGTTAATCTGTTACCAATTTGAAGGTCTGCTGCATGTTCTGTTTATGCTGCATATTTGTTTCCCTGATTTGATGTGGGCTCTGATTATTTTGAGATTGAGACTCCTGGTTTTGGAAATCTTAAATTTTCCTTTGGTGCCATGGAAAATTTAAAGCCCATTCTTTATTGTATCGGGTCTTGCAAAGTTGCAAGTAGTTTATAACTTCTTGGACTCGGCTCTATTCCCAACTCAACTGGCCTGAATTCCAGATGTAGTGTTGAGAAAGATAAGAAAGCCGAGAAGTCCCCGTGTAGAATTTCGAGAAAATTGAATTTAGAAATAAACCAACTGCCCCTCTTAAAATTTCTCATAAACTTTATAAGCCTTGCTTACTTAATGAGGGTCTCAACTTGAAGAGCGAACTCAAAAATGAAACTGAATTTGGCTCATTCACCCCGTAAATTATTTTCCACTTGCGTCTAACAGCGCTGATATTGAATTAGGGCTTGATTGGATGATTTAATCATATAGCTCTAGCTTTGTTACCAATAGTCTGAGTGTCCATTACAAAAGAAAATTCACCATTTGGGATCATGTGACTTACTTTGGGCCCCTGCATTCATATGGTTGGTGAAGGATTAAGAAATTTTTCCTAAAAAAGAAAGAGCAGATTATGCGGAAATATGATGGTTCTGATTCAGTATGATATACTCTTTAAGGGCTGCATTATGAATATTACAAGAAATTTCTTAAAATAAGAAATAAAGAAAGATCCATAAAAATAAAATAAAATAAAATGCAAAACTTCATAATTACAAACATTGTGCTAGTATTTTTCTTACACAATGGATTAAATGAATTCAGTACTGGAATTTTAACCATGCAAATTTGAGCACTGGATTAATCTCACCAATTTGACCCGGTTGATTTACTTCTTGGCGGCCTGGAATGTTGTACCTAGGTATGGCAATGGAACCCAACCCCATTCGGGAGAGATGCACTAATCCGTAACTTGGGTGGGGTAGGACATGGCAAAACCCATATTTGCTTGGGGTTTGGAGGGCTTGCTGATGGATTTTCTAAAACTTTTGGTAAAGTAATTTTGATTTTTGGAATCACTCTCCTTACACACTTCTCATTTTTCTTCGTGGCATGCTAAATGCATGGCATTCATTGCACGTGCCCTCTATGAACCTGTGCTCTCATACTCTCATACAAGTAAATGTGGGTCCTAGCCTTATGCTTTTTTCTGATGTCGTACAATATATAGAAACTTTTTTGTATGCATTTTGTGTGATGCAGTCTGATGACACTGTATTGGATCTTTATCATTTTACCAGCCACACATTAATATGTATAGGGATTTAGCTTCCTATCAAGTTACACCAACTGAAATTGGGTTATCCAAGTCTGATGCTGAAATAGAACCAAAATTTTAAATAAATTATTGTAGAACACTTCTGAAATACCAAAGAGGTGTTGTATTATAATAGTCTTCACAAGGGATTTGCGAAACTAATAGGATACCATTGCAAACTAGTTTATCCGGTTGGATTCTTTCTAACCCAACCCTTCCCCAAACCAAGGCAGGGACTGGCTGATTGCTTGCTTCTTCCCGTGCCATGGGTGATATACATAAACTATAGGTGCCTTGCAAAGCATTAATTGTGTTATTCTCCTAGGCAACATTTTATGTAACATCGCATTGAAACTTAAATAGTATACAACAAAAACCTTAGAGAAAAAAAAAAAAAATCATTCAATTAAAGAACACATTCATTAAATTGCACAGAAAACAAACCTGCTCTGCCTGTAATGAATGGTTTATGGGTTTGGTTAGTAATTAAATTGGGTGGTAACAGTCATAAGGCACAAGAAAGCTATGAAGTATTAATACTTCTATAAGGGGGATGTATCCTTATTGTGTTTGTGTCGGGAAGTGACACTATTTAGATACCCGCGAATACGTGTTTGATACTTGCTAAATGTTTCCACAATTTGAAGATTATTATTTTATTTTATTTTGGTTCGAATACTTTTCAGATACTTCGACCTCATATCCAATACTTGAATACATCCAGACACATCTTAAATGAGTTCTAAACTTTAAAATGAATTTTTTTTCATGCACAGTACTGTAGTATATTTGTAAAAAGGAGTTCAGAGTCCCTTTAAAGAAGTGTTGAGATATAATGAGAATATATCATGGCTAAGTTTATTTAAAAAAATATGCTTTTCTATAATAATTCTTTGATAAGGAAATGATATATATGTGTGTGTGTGTGTGTGTGTGTGTGTAAAACATGACTAACAATTATTGTTTTGAAAATACGTAGATACACATGTAGTTTAATTTGATACATATCTATATAATATGTGTATATCTTGACGGATCTTTTAGGTGTCTGTAACCTATTTGTTCAGAGCTTTGTCTTATCACCATATTTGTATCGTGGCGTGTTCATATTCTGTCCGTATCCATGCTTCTTATCATGAAAGATTTTATTTGATGGTTTGGATCTTTTCCTTTCTTTTTTCTTTTTTACAAAAATAAAAGTTTTCTTTAAACCCATTCATTTGTAATGGCAAGTTCGACTGCTGTTCATCTTTCTATTTTCTACATCCCCTTCTATTTTATTGTCTTCTATATGTATAATTTGTATTTTAAACCTATGTTTCTTTTTTATTTTGTATTATTACCATGTCCACAACCTTGGCAGCCCATTTTCTTTGTCTTAATTAGTAGATTAATGGTGTAAAATATCGTCTTTTTATGACGTGTTCATCCATTGCTGTCAGTCGATGAAAGAGAATTTACACTGCTGATAGATATGCACATTTTACCATTGTGACTCTTGATAAAGCTTCCCTTCTCAGTGGGAGTTATTCTGTGATGGGCCCTAATCCTTCCCCCTGATTTGATGTGGCAAAATTGGGGTGATTTACTTGAAATGGGTGTTTAAAGATTAGGGACAACCAACAGGCCAGTGGCCTAGCGGTATCAGCCTCTTACTTCCCAAAGGGAGGTTGGTGTTCAAGTCTCAGAAGAAACAAGTGCGTGTGAGTACCAACTAGGAAAAAAAAAAGAAAAAAAGATTAGGGACATGTATTTGTTGTGTCCTTCAGATATTGGATGTGATTAATTGGATTATGTAATCTTGTTATGTGGGCCAAATGTCAATTGTAGTTGTCAGATTTCATTCTTGATCTCCTGACAGGCCATTCAAAAGGGGCCTCAAGAGTTCTTAGTGGAGGAAATTCGAAATTGAGATAAAAAAATGTACAGATACTATTTTCTGCAATTTGTAGAGGAACATCTGGAACTATATTTGGCACTTTTTTTTTTGTAATGGATACTGACTAAAAAAAAAACGATCACTGATACTAAAACAATTTCTTAGTTTGTATTTACCAGGGAAATGCTGCCAGTTAAAATCAGTTTGTGGTCTAGTTGCCCCGTATTTACAATATAGTTGGTGTTTTTGTCCTTTATATTTTCATAATATTACTCTTCTTCATTGCACAGATATTATACAATAATGCTGTCATCTTATAGGCAGTCAGAGAATTTTGCTAATCTGAGTTAATATTCGTTTCCACAGGGGCTTAAACGACTAAAGAAACTCCAATCTGTAGGAAGATGTGGACAATTGGTGTCATCAGATTGTTCCACGACCGGAGATGTAGGCCGTGATTTTCGTCCCATTGTAGCTCATTCTAAACAAAGTCCAGATGGTAATTCAAGGGACAGGTTTGGCAGAGGAACCACTGTTCCTACCCCTGTTAAGTTGAGGAAAATGGGCAGTGAGGAAGCAGGTGGTAAGCATTCACAACTCCACAGAGACAATAGATTCCGCCACGAGTTTGGAAAGACGATGAGAGAAGCACCCTCTATAGAAATTGGGCCAAAGCGACTCAAAGTCAGAGGTCCATCATTTATAGGGACCCAAAGTCAGAGGTCCATCATTTATAGGGACTGACAGCAGGTTTGATTGATTATAGAATTGGAGACCAACGAGAAATTTGGTTGGGCTGCATATGGAGCATTCTCTAGTGCCTGACTTTGCTAACTTAATTTTCTCTAATGCGGTTCTAACTACACGGACAATCTGAAAATTTCATTCTGGTAGCAGCGGCGACAATTGACCAAGTTTAGATGAATATTATTACATTCTTTGTGCAGGCCTCAAATTGGGGCAACTCGCACGGATGGTGATTCTTGGGTTCTCTGGCTGGGGTGTTTTTCCGTCATTGGCAGGAGAATCTTGATGCAAGCAGAAAGTAGATTTTGCATTAGTGACTTAGATGTAAATTTATTTTTTTTTAACCTGACCGTCACAATTCTTGTGAGGAAGCGGGTTATTCCAGTTGCCTCATTTCATTTCAAGCCTGCTGCTTCCTTTGCTAGGGTTCTTCATTCTTTTTGTAGCTACAGGTACTTGTACCTTGGACTACTTGAATAAAAGTTTAAGAGAAATTCCTTTTTTCTCCCCCAATTTTGTCTTAGCTCCATGGCTTTTGTTCTTTCAGTGTTTTTATATGAAATGATTCCATATCATATATAAAAAAAATACAGGAACTGATATTTACCTCTCTGCTTTACTGATGGAAAATGTCACTTGTATTTTATTGTCAAGATACATAAAATAAATAAATAAATAAAAACAAAAAGGAAAAAGGAAATTGATAAAGACTGAAAATGTAGGTACTTATTTCTGATCTTTATTTTTGCTTTTGTGAAGATGTATCATAGCAACGTCTTTTTATTATTTATTTATTTATATATATTTTTTTCCCATCTATTTCTTTTCAGATGTACATTCAATCCAAGCCTGCAGGGTCATAGGATTCATCCAACCGTGGTTGCAAGTTTGTACTTCATTTTAACTTTATTGGGATATAAAAAAGCAAGCTTTATAAAACGAAAGAATATGTTTGGAGTTGCTTGTTTTAGTTTGATAAGAATAATCAGAAAATAGTTTGAGAATTGATTTAGTTACATGTTCCTGAAAAGCTATACTTTAAAACCAGAAATATATATTTTGTTTCAATCAGGGGTGGTGCTCAACCTCTTAGAAATAAAAACCCTTGATGTAAAATTGATTGTTGAAGTTTATATGACCTTTTTGTGTTAGCAGAAGACTAAACGGGCATGTTGACATGTTTTTAAAGATAGTGCTGAATAGTTTGTTTTTCAAGTAGGAGTTGATCCGCACTTCCTGTTACAGTTTGATCTGAAAGGTTAATTTTTCGAATAAAAAGAGGCCAACGAACAATATTCAAAATAGATTGATCTGAAAGGTTAATTTTTCGAATAAAAACGAACCAACAAAAAATATTCACAACTTGAGTGTAAAAACGGACCAACGGACAATACTCACAACTTGGCAGTGCTGCGGGTCCTTTGAGTGAGCAAATGTTTAGCCCCACATCTCACTATCAAATGGATCCATAGCCTTCTCCACCACCTTAACCCCTCCATGACAGAAGGAAACATATTTTAGTATCACACGGTTTGTGGGACCTACACCTTTATGAGTCATTTCTTACCTTCTTCTTCTATTGAAGACAAAGGAACAAAGCAAAGGAAAAGGCTATAAAAAATAAAGCAAGAAAAAAATGTTATTGGGTTCTTGTCATATATCTCCTCATTTCTTTCCAATCACTTACTCCAATTGATTTGTGGATTTGATTTGTCTTTATAAAGATTCAATATGTTTCAAAGTTTTGTTATTCTCTCTATTAAAAACATTGACTCCTAGAAAAAAAAAAAGAGAGGCACATACTACTTTAAGTCATGTTATGTGAGTTTGATTAGGAAGATCTTTAATTTCTTTTTCATGTGCGGTCAAGTTTTTGAAGCGTAAATACATTTTAGGGAAACAAGCCACTTTGCATCATTCCTTCATTGAATAATTCAAAATCATATAAGTTATAATTATGTTTGAGAACACTGAATTGATATTTTAAATATAAAATTGAAAAAAATTATTTTAATTTCAAATCTAAGGCACTATATTCTCAAATGCAAGACAAATGGAATATATTAAAGGCTATATTTGGCGGTATGGAATTAACGCTTTGGAATTGGAGAAAATTTTAGTTCAATTTTTTAAATTATTTTTTCTCTAATTCCATACCGCCAAACATAAAGTAAAATATTCTATTAATTACACTTCAGAATTCATCCTATTAATTTTATTTATATACATTCAAGGATATGCAATAGCTTTTCACAAGTAAGCTAATTAATAATTTGAGATATATTTAATTTTAATTTAGAAGAACATATTGAATACTAATATTTGTAGCCAAGTGATATCTCCCGAGTCTTTCAAACTAGAAGATTCAATATGTTTCAAAGTTTTGTTATTCTCTCTATTAAAAACATTGACTCCAAGAAAGAAAAAAAAACAAGAGAGGCACATACTACTTTAAGTCATGTTATGTGAGTTTGATTAGGAAGATCTTTAATTTCTTTTTTATGTGCGGTCAAGTTTTTGAAGCATAAATACATTTTAGGGAAACAAGCCACTTTGCATCATTCCTTTATTGAATAATTCAAAATCATATAAGTTACAATTATGTGTTTGGGAACATTAATTGGTGCTTTAAATTTAATTTGATCAGATCTAATACGTCATATTTCCAAATGCAAGGCAAATGGAATATATTAAAGGCTATATTTGAAGGTATAAAATTAGAGCTTTAGAATTGAAATTGGAATTGGAATCAAATGAATTGGAGAAAATTTTAGTTCAATTTGTTGAATTGTTTTTTTTCCAATTCCACACCACTAAACATAACGTAAAGTATTTTATTAATTATACTTTAGAATTCATCCTAGACTATTGTTTCAGAATTCATCCTATTAATTTTATTTATATATATACAAGGATATGCAATAGCTTTTCACAAGTAAGCTAATTAATCATTTGGGATATATTTAATTTTAATTTTGCTGAGGGTGAAATTCACGCGGTCCGATACGACACCGTTTTCCTACAAGGAAGAGAAGAAAAGATCGATGAACCTTGACGGCACCGGTGTGGTGCTTGCCAAGAGCTCTCCGACGGTCAAGTTAGTAACCGGATGTCTAAAAAGAAAGCAGGAATTTAATAATAGTTTTTTCGTCGTCCTTTATTCGCGAGTCGTCGTCTTATTTATCGTCGCTTCCTTTATTCTCTATAGGAAATTTTATCATCCTCATCCCATGGAAATCTTATCCTTGATAAGATTTGTCATCATCCCCATGAAAATCTTATCCTGCATAAGATTTGTCATCATTCTTATCCATGAAAATCGTTACCTCTAATAATAAAATATTATTATTGATTACCGAAAAGATCTGGCGGCTGGTCAACATTTGATTGCCTCTATCGTTAGGTCAAGATAGGTTTATTTTTCCCTATCAGTTGCCCTCCATTCCCAAGCTTGCTCGTCTAGTTTTGGGAATGTAAGATTTTTTTTTTTTTTGCCCCCGGCATTGTTCCCTCGGGAACAGTGCCCGCGAGTACTGTTCATTGAACAGTAGAATTAATTTTCTTTTTTCCCCTGCCCTGCTTTTCCTATGAACAGTAACCTTTTTATTTATTTATTTATTATTATTTTATTATTATTATTATTTTTTTTTAACTCTTCCCTTGGGCACTGTTCCTTTGGGTTCTATTTTTGGTACCCTTAGGTACTCTGCCCTAGGTATTATTCTTCGTATCCTTGGCTATTCTGCCCCTGGGTATTTTTAGTACCTTTGGGTAATCGTCCCCTGGGGTGCTCTGCCCCTGGGTACTATTTTTAGTACACTTGGGTACTCTGCCCCTGGGTACTGGTTTTACTCAAATCGTCACTCCTTTAATAAGGGAATTGAACTTTACGAGCTTTACTCAGCTCACCCTTTTAGTAAGGGATTTTTATTTACTATCCCTTATTGTAAGGGGATATTAATTACGGGATTCATTCAGCTCGAATTCTTGTAGTACATGATACTCATTTATTATCCCTTATATTACGGGGATATGGATTACGGGATTCATTCAGCCCGCGTCCTTGTAATACAGGACACTTATTTACTATCCTTTATAGTACGGGAATACGGATTACGGGATTCACTCAGCCCAGGTCCTTATAATACAGGACACTCATTTACTATCCCTTATAGTACAGGGATACGGATTACGGGATTCACTCAGTCCGGGTCCTTATAATACAGGACACTCATTTACTATCCCTTATAGTACAGGGATACGGATTACGGGATTCACTCAGCCCGGGTCTTTGTAATACAGGACACTCATTTACTATCCCTTATAGTATGGGGATACTGCACGTATAAAGATAATTGACCAAGAGTCAAGGCAACTGAAAAGAATTTTATTATAGTCCATCATTGCCTCAAGGCTTATTAAAAACGAGGTAACACGTGAGGGAGCTACTCTCCATTTAAAATGATTAACTAAGATGCCCCAGTCTTTATTGTGAATGACTTGATAAGGCTAATTCCAGCCGTGAGACAATTTCTAGTCGGTATACTCATCTGAGTCATTCTCATGATATGTGTTATCGCTCTAGCTGAAAAACGATCTCTTATATTTGGTATTATTTTCATCCCTGGCGAGAGGGGCTGGCCTCTTTTTGTCCTCTCATTCCTTCCGTGCACTCATGGTGTCTTCAGCGCTGATGTGTTTTTGCGCTCTGATCAGCAACTCTATCATGCTGGTGGGAGGTTATTTTGATAAGGAAAACAAGAATCTGGAGGTTTGGAGTCCTCCTATGAAAGCCGTCAAAGCTACCTTGTCGTCCATCCCTTCTACCTGTAACATCTCTGCGTTGAATCGGGTGATGTATTCCCGAATCGACTCTTCCTTTTGTTGCTCCACGGTAAACAGGTAGGTAGCCGACCTCTAATGCCTCTGACCTGCAATGAAGTGGCTCATAAACTGCTTACTCAGTTCTTCGAAGGTGTTGATGGTTCCTGGCTTCAGCTTGTTGAACCAAACTCTTGCTGATCCCTTAAGTGTAGTGGGAAAAGCTCGGCATATGATTTCGTTTGGCACAGCGTGTAAATGCATAAGAGCTTGAAAAGTTTTCAAGTGATCGAGGGGATCTTTGGTCCCATCGAAGCTTTCGAACGAGGGCATCCTGAACTTGCTAGGTAGTGGACATTTCATAACAGCGGGGCTGAATGGCAAGTTGGTCCTTTGTACCAGGTCATTTACGGCGGTAGGACCTTTCCTTTTCAGAGTCTGCATTACATCTTCCATTTTCCCTTTGAGATCCTCGATCTGCAGGTCGAGATATGTAACTTTCTTTGTCTTTTCCTTAAGACAGAAGGATGTGCTTTCAGGAGGTTAGGAACTCCGTGGAAGAGATGGGTGGACCACTTCTCTATGTCGGGTTCTTACCTGGCTTTGTTCTACTTCAGTCTCATTTTGGGGGGGATGATTATCTTGCTCTTCAAGATTCCTATTCCTTCTGTTTGGATTTGAGAGATCTTGTC